AGTCAGTACTTCTTCAATGTCAAAGTTTTAACTCAATGTCTGTTTATTGTGTTGTCTGTGCTGTGCCTCTACTGTTCATTCTTTAATTTTATTACACATTTCATTATAAAATGTATGACTTAAATTGTATACAGCTCAGGAGGCATATTTTTAAAAGAGTCCAACATTTCAGTTTGATTTACTCATATATTACTTGCAAAGCTGCTATTAGGGAATTACATGTCCAATGTATTAAATTTGGCAACAAGCCTCAGTGAATGTCACTGTATACCTTGACCATGTAACTTGCATTATCTAAGATGAATCCAGTCATGTTTATGAGATCTATTTCTAATGTTTCATAATGTTCCCTTGCCACTGAGGAGTAATTCAAAAGAGAGTGGCGATAAACTGCATCGGCTAGAATAACTGTCAGTTCACTGGCACTTGATTGTCCTTGGAAAACAAAATGCACAAAGCATAGCAGACTTATTAACTACAGATGCATTGTCAAAAATTTGGAGCAGTTTTTAAATTTTGTTTTTGTGCAAAATGGTCTGTGGTAAATACCCTTTTCTCAGAGTTGTTATGGGAATTACCCCAACTTTTATCACATTTCTTGTGAAGGCCATGTATTTTGGTTCACATTCAAGAGAAATATTTTAAAAGGAAGTTAGTTAAGATGTGTGTATGTCCCACTGGGACGTCCCACCACCATCAAACTCATACCATGCACAATTCCCAAACGCACAGTCACGGAGCGCATCCTGTATCATGTCCTTAAACCAAACATGCAACACAACACTTTGGTTACACCACAAAACATATACACGCGATATTTTATTCATTCATTTTTAATTTCTCTCATATGTGACTTTTCCAAAATTCCGCAGCATACCCGTTCATGCTTGAAAGCATAACTCTGCACCGCGCCGTGTCGTTTCAGTAACGCAGATATGATTAGCCACAGTGCCTATGCTGATGACTGCAGATATTTGAGTGCTTACAGTGCAGAGAGGGAAAGGACAGCCCTTGACAATAAGGCATGGGAGCACTCTCTAAATCAGTGCCATCTAATACTACAAGTTATTATGAGCACTTACTATGTTGAATAAATACATTTGTTGAAAGAATACAATATAAACCACTAATATAAGGAGTATAATGTGTACTAACATGCTTCATATTCTATTTTCTATTTCTTACCCAACCCTTCTGTATTCTTATAACAGGGGACTAAAATAATTTTCCCCTTTATTTATGAGTTGTCATTTTAATATTTGGAGATAATATTTGAGCAAAACATTGTTTTTCTTGACTGTGCATATTCCTCTCAATAATTAATGGGTAGTTGCATTAATGCATGTAGCTTTTGTTCTATGAAAGAACAAAATCCAGTTTAATGTGGACTTGAAGTGATGATTAAAATTATTTTCTTACTGTATAATCTATTTTAAATTAAAGGATGAAAAATCTGTCCTTCTCAACTAAGGTACTGAAAATAATGGTGTTTGCGGTTTTCTTTTCAAAACTCCCATCTACTAGTAACTTCTAAGAAAGAGATGAGATTAAATCCTGTCACACCCATTCACTTTTAAGTATTTATTCTCTACTTCATTTGTGCCATGCGAACCCTTTAACATAAAGGTTTGATTTGTACAGAATGTTTTATAAATATTTTGGAGATTGCTTTTTCAAAAAATTAGATTTTCTAAGGTTTTATTGGTGAATAAGAGTCTTAATTTATAATGGTTTTTGCAGTTCTATGCCAGTGTCACCTGGGGAAATTATTTTTTTAACTAACCTCGTCTTTGAAGTAAAAAACTGGTCAGAATAAACACATCTTCCACCCAACCCTAAAACATGGAAACTGCTTAGAATTTGAGAGACTGTTGAGAATTATCTCTTAACTTCTGACATTTGCTTAGAAATGGGCAGGAAGGTAGCACAGTGGTTTGTATTGTCACCTTGCAGCGCTGGGTTTAATTCCTGGGGTGCTGTTTGGAACATTTATTTCCTTCCCATGTTCATATGGGTTTCCTCCAGGAGTGAGAAGAGGGGAGGCCTATTAGTAGTAGGCATAGAGGCATCTTTCATGGTCTATAATATAAAGGATCTCAGCAATAAAACAAGACCAAGACAAAAACTGGAGAAATGAGAATATGAGAATTACAGTATATAACCGAGGCTTAAGACAGGATGTGGAAGTGCTGACTGCCTTGAAAGATCTTTCTTCTGCATAGCTCCTAACGTGCTCCGATCATCTGTCCCACAAACAGAGGAAGTTATCCACTGTTTGACAAAATGTGGCCTCTTAACACTGCTACTGGATCGTCTCCAATTTTTGTAGGTGACATTCATATCAAGATGTAGCGAAATAGGACTACCTACTGCATAAATCACAATGGCCACCAGACTGCTATTTTTTAATAACACTTTAAGCTATCTTTGCTTTGGGACCACTGCACCATTTTGCATGAAACTTGGCAGGTTTTCTTACACTCAGAGCTGCACCTCACAAGATGCAGCAATACGTACTATATTATTGTAGCAAAGGAGTTGCTGTGCCTGCTGTTGTCCGTCTCACACCAATTGCAGCTCATGAGGCAATTTTCTGCAAACCATGCTGTACAACAGAGAGGCAAATGACAACACTCAGTGAAAGAGTTTTTGGTTTATTTTATTTCACTCAGAGTGTTAAAGTCAATCCATCTCCCTGCTGCCGTCATCTTTCCTGCACCGCAAACCGCTTCAGTGCAAAAACTGTTTGTCCACTTTGTTGTAAGACTTGGTAGGTCTAATTCTAGTTTCCCCTGGTACTTGAAGTTCAATTACACTGCTAAAGTATGTGAGTAGGGACCTCTCTTAAAGGTTGTGTAGTTTAAGTATTTGTTTTCTGTAATCGTTTATGAGCATTCAACAAAGAAAATTCATCATTCAATGTTAGCACTACATGCACAATCACATTGAATAAAAAAGAGCTTCCGTACTGGTTATGTCAGGCCAGTTTATGTGTCTTAAACAGAAAAGTAAGACTTTATCATCATGTTTAATACTGTTAAATAATTTTCTGCTCAGAATTTACTAGTATATCAGAGAAAACTCTATATTTAGAACTTTAAAAAATTAAAAGTGGTGCTTCACATTTCAGGTTTGCAACCAAAACTATGGTATAGAGTATATCCGATTTCGTATCTGATTTCATTAGTGAGTTTATATTTCAACTGTTGTACCAGTTACACACTGATCCATGCAGATTTTTTTACCAAAAAAGTCCTTGTCGGCCCGTATGCACTATGGCATGGAGTCCACCATCAACTGTAATTCTGCAGGAAGGATTGCAACTATCAATTTTTCACACTTGTGTGATGGAGGTGGAAAGAGCTATCTCTGGCGTTATTCCAGGATAACCCATGAATACTTAATTGGCTTAAGATCTGATGACTGTAATGGCCATGACATATGGATATCATCAACCCGATGGGAAACTGCACATGCTCTGTGGTGAGCACCGCCATCCTGCAAGCATCCCTCCCAACAGGATAGTAATTCTGTAACATGCGGTGAAGATTACCACTCAAGCTTTGACCCTTTCTTCCAAGGCTTGAGTGCACCCAAACCATGCTAAGAAAAATGTGCTTCACAATATTATAGAGCCACCAGACCCCTTCACTGTCGGAACCAAGCACTCAAGGCTGTACAGATTCTACAGGTTGGAGCCACACGCGCACTCATCTGTTTTTCGAGAACATGGAGAAGGATGATTCATCTGACCCGACCACATTTCGCCGCCGCTCGGTGGCCAATGCCTGTGTTCTTCGCACCACTGGTGTAGCAGTTATGCATTGCTAGGTGTGATGAGCAGTTTGTGCACAGAAACACGACTATCTGTCACCTGTCAGTGGACTCTCTTTGAGAAAACTGGCTGCTCATGCCCCAGGTTGAAACGTGCAGCCAATTAATCTGCAGTTGATCGCCTGTTTTATCTTACATACTAAATTAACACCTGGATATCCTGACTCTAGAGCCATAGATACATTTGCCTGTCAAAGGATAGCAAAGGTGATCTGTCTAGGTCACTAAAGCTCTTGCCAAACACACTACAATCATCTCCCTTCCAAAGTCACTAAGGTCCTTATACAGCCATAATTATAGGCAATCAGGCATATCCGGACTTTGTATACATGAGCTTAAGTACACTACAATGTGTCGCACCTAATTAATACCTGAGCCACTCCTGTGTGGAAGCTTTTGCTTTTAGCATACTTGGTATCCCTCAGTTACAGTGGTGTTTTACCATTTGTTTGCCTACTGCCTGTATCTTTCATGAGAAACAGTGATGCATTTCATTTATATTGTAGTCAGCAGCCATATCACCCTGCACGATCGGCAACCCACTGAAGCTCAGCCGGTGTGAGCCTGGTCAGTACCTGGATGAGAGACCTCCTGGGTAAAACTAAGATTGCTATTGGAAGGTGTGTTAGTAGGAGGCGTTCACCCTGCGGTCTGTGTGGGTCTTAATGCACCAATATAGTGATGAGGACACTATACTGCCAAAAAGGCACTGTATTTCAGACATAAAATCAAGGTCCTGACTCTCTGTGGTCATTAAAAATCCCAGGGTGTTTCTCAAAAAGTGTAGGAGTGTTACCCCAGTGTCCTGGCCAAATTTCCCATTGGCCTTTATCATGGCCTCCTGATAAACCTCATCTATGAACTGACTTCATTATTCTGTTCTTCTACCCACTGATAGCTGGTGTGTGGTGAGCAGACTGGTGCACTATGGCTGCCGTTGCATCATCCAAGTGGGGCTGCATATTGGTGGTGGTGGAGTGGAGTCTCCATTACCTGTAAAGTGTTTTGAGTGAAGTGTCCAGAAAAGCACTATATAAGTAAAAGGAATTATTCATTATTATTTAATAATGCATGTAAAATAATAAAACACTGGAGCACTGGAAGGCACTGGGAACAAGTAATGTCAGAACAAAACGCAGTGGCTGTCCATTGAAGAATATATTTACCTGAAGAGAAAGCTGCCCATGGTATTGCTGGCGAAACTGGATGTTGTGCGTTTGTATCCCCAAATTCAAACGTCTCAGCAGCCTGGAAAATCAAATGAGTTTGTTTTTGACACCAGACAACAAAAGCCTAGTTACACTGCACATGATAACATACAATGAAAAAACATATCAAAAACTTTTCTGAACTGAAAGTGTATATATTGGAAGTTCTAAAACACAAGGATTGTCAATGCAAAAACAACAATACAGCACAAAACATAATACATTACAGCACTAGAAAAGGCCTGAATGCTGAAATCATCAGTATGGTGGAATTGTGTTAGAAGAGCATTATTTAGTCCCGGTTAAGAATTAATGTACTTTCTTTGGTAACATGCCTCCTGGAAAAGGGCACAAAAATGTTAGACAATATGTCCAAAAAATAAAAGTAGCACATTTAAAAACTTCTTTGGCAGGAATGTTGTTGTTTTTTCCAGACACAACAGAAATACCATTTGTAACTAGAAAAATAAATCACAATCTGTGTCAAGGCTAGGAAAAATTATTTGATTTGCATCTTCATCAATGCTGATACTGAAGACCTATGTAGTGGCAATTTGTATACATTCCGGAATTACTATGATTTTTTTCCTTTATTGAAAATCTTAAATCACAGTATTTTCCTTTACAAATGAGACTTCGCTCAGTATTCCACATTAACTCAGACTGTAATATTGCTCTTTTGTTCCAGTCCTGTTGGTTCATCGTGTTTTTCCATTTTTTGGAATAAACAGTTTTAAGTGCATTGTGAAGTAACTTAAAATAACTTAAATAACTTACAAAATAAAAATAACTGTACTATGAGCTTGCCTTTTAACATGCTGTTGTAGAAAATTAGTTTAAATTATTAGTTTACCTGTGCATACACCAAGAAAGAGAAACTTTTACGCATGTCTTTATATTTTTAACCCATAATTTCTTTTTCTGAGACAAAACCATTTGATTGTATTGGAATTGAATCATTTAAAATAAAATGTCCTGGAATTACGTTTGGTAATAACGTAAATACACCTTTTATTCATTCCTTATTAACGCTTTTATGGTCATTAATCCATGACATTGATAATAAACTAGTTATAAATACTGTTATTAACATAACTTTCAGTTTTCTTGTGAGGTCACTTTTCTCATTAACAATTACAAGTACAGTACTAACATTTATGTAACTAGTCTATAGTTGATAGACTTAAGCTAATAATACCTAAATAAACATTAATGAAGTATTTGTTAACAATTATTACTGAACCCTAACATAAAATGTTGCCATTTTTTCATTACAATGAGACTTGCTGAGCATACACCAAATAAAACAAATGGTTTTCCATTTTATAGTATGTTAAAAACTCATTCACCATCTCAGAAAATGTTACACTACAGCTAGATTCCAGTTTGCTCATGCATGATCTGTAACAGCAGATCCCTTTTCATCTGCAGAACTTGACAAACTATGACACCCTTTCTCCGTTTGTCATGATTTCCCAATCTTCTATTTTTGCTTTTGACCGTTTTGCTTATAAAATGAATTTAGAAAATGCTCAAATATCACATTACATAGTCTGTCAACACTGGTACGAAATAATTACTCATGCTGTCATTCCTGAAATATCTGCCAATTGTAATGAGGTGTGCTGCCATCCACTAAATGGTGCTGGATCATATTTAATTAGGGTATCTACTGAAAGTATGACTAAACAACAGAGATTAGTGTCATTAAATCCTGACCCCAATCTCCACCAGTCTTATGTACTGTATGTATAAAGGAAAAGAAACAGACGAAATTGGCTAAATAATTTTAAGTTTACTGTAAAACCTGCATATATGAATATATTTATAGGTATTGTATAACATATTAATAATAAACCACATTTTACACAACACCTTTTTTTCTGCTAATCATAGATTTACCTCAATATTACATGAACTCACTTGTAATAAAACAAGCTTTAAGAATATATTTAATAACATGCGGTTCAATTTGGAGTACAAAAAGGGAGAGGCACACTATAATAGACTAGACACAATTCAGTTCAAATAAGCTTATATTATTTAACACTATGGAGACATGTAGAAACAAGTTCATGGTTGAATGTTGCTGAGCAAATCTGGTTTTGTAATAAATTGCTTTTACTTTCATAAATTGCTTTATTCTGTCCCACTAAACAGCAGAAGGTTTTTTCCAAGTGATCTCTTTCTCCAAAATAATGTTAGCAGGAAACCATTTTGCACCAAATGGTGTTACATTATTATAGCTGTTCAATACATCAGAACTCCTGATCAAGAGCTAATACAAAACATTGAATCAATTTCTCAAAAGGCACTATTGGGTCTTGCATTAATAAGTGAATTGTTCTGCAAAGATATGACCGTCATCATTCAAACTAATATGTAACTATGTTCCTTATATAGTGCATCCTAATAATTATGGTTCCACCTGGTGGTGATTTTTTTTTCCCCTGCCTTCAGAGACTCCCGACCCCAAATGTGTACCTTACTTTCAAACACAGTGGATTCACGCCTAAATGAGATGGGTATTTTTTTTCAGAAGCAGCTGTACGGCTTTATAATCACCTTGAATATATATGTGGAATCCCTGAAAATGAGTGAAATTAAAACTCTCAGCAACATGCCACTAATTTTTTCTGAGGCAGCGTTCAGGAGAAATGGTTAGGTTTCTCCGTTTGTTAATATGCTTACTCTAATAAATAGCATCACTTAAACCCACATGTCTGGTAAACAAGTGTTGGTTGAAATGTGCTTTCATGAATGCTGAATTCAAGACTGGTAAGTACAGTTTAATGTTAAAGATTAATTTTAAACAAACTTGAGTTTCAGTCCTCAAATCTGCCCCTTTAAAAAAAATGCAGTAAATTCAGTAGAACGAAGGGTATACTATAAAAATATGATGTCATGTTTCTCTCCACTGCTCTACGTACATACATTTAGTTTGTCTTGTTTTTATGAGGTGCACCACAGCATAGAGCCAAACCTCAGAGCAGAATACCACATTTCTGGCCTTTAAAGGAGGAGAAGGGAAGACTTTTAAATTAAATAGTGTTGGAAAGGTTCCTTCCCATCTGGGCAGAGAACCGCCCAGTTGTCCGGACACTGAATCACTAGTTGAGCCTGTATCATTTTATCTCAGTGTTGAAATTCATTGAACCAGCCAAGTAAGCAAATTAGGTATGTACTCTTAGGTACTGAATGACCTGGTAGCTGGAAAACCTAGGTGGTGTGGTTTAGGAAACTATTAATATACTGTAGAAGGAAGAGCTAGTAGCTGGGAAAAAGAGGTACCAAAGAGCACCAAAGACAATATGTGGTACATCTGGTACCTTGCAATCGTACTGTATCCTTACTGTGGTGTCCCATTTTGTGATATTTCAAAGACAAGCAAACACATTTTTAAATATCTTATAAAAAATGTGAATGCTCAAACTGAAGACTTCTAAGGGTAAGATACCAGCTATAGCAAATCTTAGCAAAAACTAAAAAGAAAAAAATTGAAAATATGTTGATTGCATAAGTATTTAAGCAATATTTTTTACACTAGTAAACTAGTAACACTAGTAACAATGTAGCTTTGACATGCTACTTTTAAAGGTGCTATATAAACCATTTTCTGTTGTTTTAAGCACCTTTGGTAGGATTTACACTATCAGGTTTTTATAAGTAAGACTTTACTAACTTTGCACACTTTACCAATCTACCACATTTGGACTCGCAGCTGATTTCCACAAGCTGTTAGGCGATCACTTACAAACAGCCATTTTCAAGTTCACGTTCCACAGAATCCCAAAAGCACTCAAGTCAAGACTTCACTGGGCCGCTTAAGTACATTCACTTTCTTATTCTTAAGCCGATCCAGAGCAACTCTGGCCTTGTGCTTTGGATCACTGTCCTGCTGAAAGGTGAATTTCTGTCCCAGTTTTAGGTCTGAAGCAGGTTTTCCTCTATGAATTGCCAATATTTGGCTCCATCTATGTTTCCATCAGTCTTGACCAGCTTCCCAGTCCCTGCTGATGAGAAACAGAACTATAAAATAATGCTGCCACCACCATGCTTGACAGCAGGGATGGTGCTGACTGAGTGATGCACTGTGTTGGTTTGCCTCAGATGTAACGCTTTGCATTTAGACCGAAGAAAATTCAATTCTGTCTTCTCTAATCACAAAACCTTCTGCCACACATTTGTAGGGGTTTTGAAATGGGTTTGTCATCCTGCTATACATGCCAGCTTTTTGAAGGGATTGGGATATTGACGACCCCTGGACATTTTCTCCCATTGGATTCAAAGTGTTTACTTTCCCAGCTGCTAGGTTTTGAGGGACAGCCTGAATTAGGCAGTTTCTGCGTGCTTACCACTTCTTAATTATCAAGCTCACCATGCTGGTAGAGATATTAAAGGCCTTTGAAATGTTCAATACCCTTCTTCTCCTAATCTGTGCCTTCATACAACTTTAACCGAAGTTGTTTTGAATGTGTCTTGGACTTAATGATAGTCTTTATCTGACATTCACTACCTGACTAAGAATCCATAAGGAGATGGGTGTTTGTATTCTGAAAACATGTTAACCTCTATTATTTCACACTGAGACCACTCCAGGAATTGTATGCCTTTTTAAGGTACCTCTTTGCCCATAACTAAGTTAGGTTTGCAACAGCAAAGGTTTGAATACTTTTTACATATTTTCTTCTGTCTTTGTTTTCTCATTTAAATGCACAGAGTGTGCCGTGTATATAACAAATATTGTTACTTCAAAGTGCCAGGACTGCAAACTTTAAAGCAATAAACTGTGTGAAGTTTGTGATTACTTTTACAAGGCACTGTCTGGAGCTGGTGTACAGTGGGACCCAAAAACCAGCTTACACAAAGAATGTGTACTTCTGCAGTAGGTGTGGTATGATTCTTCTGAAGATCGAATTGGAAGTGTCATGAATAAATTATGCTTGTTTTAAGTCTGCATTATTATGGGAACTACAGTGCAGCCCTGGAGGATTGTTTCTTTCAGCAAGTCTTACAGGAAGGCTATGATCAACACAGAACGTTTTCCAAAGTCTGTGTTTCACATCTGTGGAAAAGGAACCCTGATTAAACCCTGCGACACATATTCAAAAGCAGTTGCAAGACTGATTGATTACGTTATGGAACTCTACCGCTTAGCTATGTGAGATTGAAGACATAGGGAGCTTGAAACATTTACCAAGAAACAAATTAATATTCCACACACACTAAAAAAAGTAATGGAATTGCATTTAATTTGCTTAGAAAAGATCTTGTATGAAAACAGAATTCATTTCCCTGAAGATAATTAGTATAATTCCCAAACTACACACATCTTTCTTTTTAGGTCTCTGTACTAATTGTACATGTCTGTAATTGGTTTCATCATTATTCTGTAACAAATAACTACATGCAGTAACATGCCAGATGGTGTAGCTTTGATCATGTTTTATTGCTTGCCTGCCCATGGTTATTTAAGACTGCCCAGGTTTCTTGGCATCCTTCTTCAACCCCCATTCACCTCCAATCTCTCCACTGCACCTTCCCAGAAATCTCACCTGGCAGACCTTCATGTGTTTTATGAGCAGCAGAAAATACTTTGAAGGGGCATCCATACATTCAAACTCCTAAAAACAGGTTCATTACCTGACGCCCTCCCGTCTGCTTACAACGAAAATCCATAATTTGCACGTTACAAATAAATAAAATGTTTAATGTGGAACGTTTTTTTAAAAACATACCTCGAACCCGCCAAAATCATCGTCATCCATTCTTCGGCAAACACCTAGAAGGCAAAAAAACAACAACCCCAAAATTAAACTTTCTTTATAGAACAAAGAAAAAACTTTTTGACATTTACATTTCTGAGATCCTGAAAGAGTTCTTTAACTCTTTGTCAGTCTGAAGGGACCAACTTGAGGGTTTCCGAATCCCCAGACAAAATTCTTCAGAGGGGTGGAGGGAGCAAGGCTGAGATTAAGAATTGTGTGACCCCTCCAGTTGTTACTGGAGTCTGTCCTCACAGGATTTCAGTATTTGGTTTTCCTAGGACATCTTCCGGACCCTCGTGACTTTTCTGATGTATTCGGCATATTAAGCAAATACTCTTGTAAAAATAAATTAAATTACAATTAGATTACTTCCATTCCCAACTTAGGTAAAGGTTTATTTCAGCATGTTTTTCCATAAGTAAGGTTATTTTAGAAGCGCCCTTTCTCACTTGTTCCATGAGCAAATACTCCGTGTTATATTTATAAACAAAAACATTTTGCTTAATGAACAAAACATTTTACAAAACTAAAATTAAGATAATTAAACATTAAAATAACTATTACATATACACAGAATTTGGTGCAACATTGTAGACAGAATTGCTTTTTGCAAATTTATAAATACATTTCATTGCCCTACACTGTACCGATCTGTAATTAAACACAATATGAAATACATGACTAAGGGATGGGTTAGTCACAATTTTTAGTGAAAAGGTGTGAAGTGATATGCAGAGGTAACCATCATGTACTGTATGTGAGAACAAAGCACATAAAATGGCGTCCTGGTGGATACTGGTGATGGCCGCATGGAGCTTACTTCACACTAGTCATCTGCAGAGGGTACACAAGTGGAATTGAAGTATGTCAAGTACAGTACCCCACAGAGGGGGTGTATATTATTAGTAGCAGTATTAGTTGCATCAGAAGAAGAAGGCTGAGAAAAAATTATTTAAGTACCTCTTTAAAGCATTGATATAACCTTTGTTTCTGTCATCTCAGTCCTTGTGATTTTAATGATGAAGATGAAAGTACAAATTTAGGGGGGAAAAGTGGTAGACTAGGTTATATGGTACATGTGCACTTCAGGTATTCATTTTCTGTTATACTGTATATGTCACAGGCCCACTAATCGACACAGTCATAAACTGCTCCTGCAGGAATTCAATCAAGAAACAAACTGTGTTAGGGGAATTTAACTTGGGTAGGAGAACCACTGCAGACATTTCTGATTCTATATATTTGGCGTCCTTGTATAACCAGCATCTACTCATAGCCTCAGAATAACTTTATGTCACCATCCTTGTTTTATTAACCCACCCTCCTAAAACAGAACAGATTGTTGTGATTGTTTACTACACACAAAGTCTGTAATTTTTTTAAACATTGTTCAAAGATCCAATTTCTGCGTATGTCGTCTGTATTTGTTATGGCACTACTACGCCATGTGCTTATGTTTTCCTAAACAGGGCTGTTCACACATTGTAGGTTTCATGCACTATTATTAAAAACCGCATTTTAAAACAATTTATTTTTAGCAGTCTCAGTTAGCAGTCTTGAATCACAACTTGGGTACAGACACAGTCACCAGTTCCCTAACCTACAAAACCAGCACAGCTATTAAAGTCTTGTAAACTTTTTTGATTCCAAAGACGAAGACACCACTAGACAAGTGCTACATATTTAAAGTATTTTCTCAGTCTGTAGCATTAATTTGGGATCACTGCGAATGCGTTTTAAGACTCTCCTACCAGACGAGACAAAGTAATTACAAGAATCATTTAAAAATTCAAAGCAGACCTTGGCAAGACCCTAAGCTCCTTGGCTTGGCTGGTTGTGCTCTAAAGCATAAAATCAACACTCAAAAAACCAGAAAACCATAACTTGGTGGGTGACATTGACAGCACCGTGTTACCACGAGACTTTATGTAATGTTTAAGTTGTTCATCTTTCCAAGGCTTTGATATAGTTCTATTCCTCTTGTACACTGCACTGGTTTATAGCATTTATGATTTTTCAGGATAATCACCGATGATTTATTCAAAAGCATATTGTAATATTGTACTTACATATCTCTTGGAGATATAATCCCTCTCATGTACGATTCAGGCTATCTCAAGTGATCTACTGAACTTGTCATATTGTTGGAACAAACAAAACTTTTATTTCTATTCAAATAAATAAGTTTGATAAAAATAAGAGTACCAAGCACATCATTTGAACACCTTCTAATGTTTCCTTGTGTGTCTGAGTATTTGTAATGGTAAAACTGAAAATGTAAGCAAGTTAAGGAATGAGAGGAAGCCATTCAGCCCCTGTTATTCATTTGGTTGTTGGTAATTTATCGATCCTAGAATCTCACTCAGCCATTTCTTGATTGATAACAGAGTGTCAGGTTCAGCCATACTGGTGGGCTGTTTGTTCCAGAGCCGATGACTCATGGCACAAGACGTGCCCGAAAAGTAAAGCATCTGGAACAAATGGATGAGCCAATTAAAATGAAGTCAAGCCATTTAAAGCATTGCTGTTAAAGTAACTTAGAACTCATTGCTTTTGACAATTTCAAAGCTTCAAAGAAGCTTACTCTGGGGGGTTGCGAGTTGAAAGATGTCTGTGGAAGGGTGTGAGCTCAAGACAGACAGATTGCTGTGGATGCGTATGAGCTCAAGACAGACAGATTGCTGTGGATGAGTGTGAGCACTTCTGTGGGCAGTGTTGACAGAGAGAGCTGCTTTACTCTGCTTGATACCAAGTGTCCCACAGGGCATTGGCACGTGTATTTTTCCACAGGAAAGCACACATGGTCTTCATCTCAATGATGCTGGTTCAAAGGCTGCAGTTTGGATGCCATGTTGACTAGAAAATAACTGTTACAATTCTAACTAAAATGTAAATAACTGGAAAATGTAAATAAAGAAAATGGGGTAAAAAAATATCCAGCGATTCAGCAAAATAAAGCTCTTTATTGAATAAGAAAATAAGCAACAGGTCCATACAATTCTGTCAGATTTCAAGCCTGTAATCAATAGGTCTGCATGAGAACACCTGGATTTTTCACAGATGATGGGTAGTTGCAGTCTTTTAAAGTAACAGGTCTGAACAAAATCAGACATCTGCAGGTGTCTTTTAAAAACTACATTAGTTCTATTTGAAAGGCTAAAAGCAGAAATGTACAGTAAAAAATAAAAACACAAATCATTATAAAAAATCTGTTGCTGTTCTGGAGCTCAGACAAAAGAATCAGCAACATACTTGTGTATAAAGGAACATCCTACACTGACAGGATAAAATAATCTTTTTAGTCTATAACAGGGAAAACTATAAGGAGACCTGATTCAAGTACTGTATCTCAAAGGCACAGACAGAATCAACAGTGAAACACAAACCATAAGACACAAGTAGAAATTATATGGAAGAGCATATAAAATGGAGAACAGCAGGCACTTAAAAAGCTACCTGGCTTATTTCAAGATTGATTGGATGAAATTCTCAAATCAATTGTCTACTAAAAGGAAAATGATAGGTTGAATGGTATCTTCTCATTTGTAACTGTTCTTATGCTCTTATGTTCTTTAGTTTTACAATTACAATTACTAGTGAGACTATTACAATTAGTCTCACTAGGAAAATCAGACCTTAAACTTACTTATGGAACCGCCTACAATTTTGACTTTTACTTTATCAGGTTCACGGGAAGCTTTGTAAATTGTACCAAGTTGTCTAATTATCCACTTGGGGTACTATTATTTTTAGCATTCTCTGCTCATTATAGTTAATGGCGTAAAGAAAATCTGTAAAATTGCTTTTAAAGCAAAGAATTAAAGCACTATTTACTGATCCATATTTGAAAACTTCCTAACTCTAATAAACCTAAAGTACATTTGGGATTTTCTTTAATGTATCTTTAGGGAGAGAGCAGAATGTTTTGCCAGCAGCCAAATCACCCTGCAACTCACAACTGGCAATCCCCTGAAGCTCAGCAGGTGTGAGCCTGGTCAGTATCTGGATGGGAGACCTCCTGGGAAAGGTAAGGCTGCTGCTAAAAGAGGTGCTATTGGGATCAGTAAGGAGTGGTCTGTGTGGGTCTTAATACCCCAGTACAGTGATGAGGTGAATATACTGTAAAATGGCACCATCCTTTGGATGAGACATAAAACCGACATCCTGACTCACTGTGGTCATTAAAAATCCCAGTGTCTTTCTTGAAACGAGCAGGGGTGTTAACCTGGTATGCTGGTCAAATTTCTCTCTGGCCTTTATCAATCATTGCATCCTAATAATCCCCGTCTATGAATTTATTTCATCACTCTGTTCTCCTCCTCACTGATAGCTGGTGGTGTGTGGTGAGTGTACTGGTGCAGTATTGCTGCTGGCGCATCATCCAGCTGGGAACTACACTGGTGGGGTGCATTGAGTGGAGTGTCACAACACCTTTATGTATCAAACGAATTGGCAAAATGACCTGTTCTGTGAAAACACATACATTTCTGTACATTAATAATCACTTAGAAACCTTAAGAGTTTTGAAGAACTGGTGTCTGGAATTGTGATTCAAATCTGTGATTTGATTTTGAGCAGAAATGCTTTTTTCAGCTATTGAAAAACAGCCAGAAGTTTAAAAAAGGCTTTTGTAAATACCATTCTATGGCGGTGCTTATGAATAGTTTCAGGTTCTTGATGTTGGCCTGTAATTTGTTTGTGCTTACACTATCATTATTATAACAAAAAAAAGCTTCTTAAAATGATTAAATAAGACAGGAAGCAAGGAGTCAATCTGTCAATCTGAAATGAGCAGCCATGACACAACACCACTGGTATGCAATAACATACCAGAGCCAACACAGAGAAAAACCCACCACAGCTTAGTCCTGTGTACCACACAGGGCTGCAGGCAGGCACTAAGGTACAGGACTGCCATTTATCAAATGGCACAAGAACTGAGTACAAAACTGAACAAGCACAATATAATTTAAGTGATAATTTTATTCCTTTATAATGCTTCTATGGGTTCCAT